TGGGCTGCGTCGTGGAGTGTTTTCCTTGCCCAGCCAGTTCTGCTTGGAGGGGGGGGCAAATTAATCTCTTTCCATTTAGATTGAGGTTGTTCCTTCTGCCTCTGCCCTGATTATCAAAGCTCTGAAGGAGCCTCCTCGTGACAGGAAGAAGCAGAAAAACAGTAAGTTTTCATCTGGCTTTAGTTCTGAATGTGATCCAGTGCTAAGCGGGGAGTGTGTACCTGCCTGTGGGTTGTTCCGTGTCAGCTGGAATCCGGTGCCACGGGGCTGTGTTTTGGGCAGTGGGAATTCCGTAAGTGTCCAAGTAAAGACAACCAGTTTGTGTGGCTGCAGAGCTCAGTTTGATGGAAGATTGCGGGGTGGACAGCCGCCTGCCACTGTCCTTGTGTGGTAACACAGGGACTGGCACAGTCCAGAGGCAGCTGACAGAAAATGCCAACTTAGGAAACAGAGTTATTCTCCTGGTGGGTAACTTTGTGCCGAAGTGTGGGAACAGGCGTGCTGATCGCAGCCCTGCTGTCGCTGTAAGCTCTGCGCTGGGCTCTGTGCTGGGAGTGGTGGGTCTCCAGCGGTGCACGGGCAGCTGGAGGTGCCCTGCGTCTGCATGGACTTACTGGTGCTGTTCTTCCCTTCAGTTAAGCACAGTGGCAGTGTCAGCTTCGACGAGATCGTCAACATTGCGCGGCAGATGCGGCACAGATCCCTGGCTCGGGAGCTCTCGGGTAGGTAGCGCTGCTGGGATTGCGGAGCCCTCAGCTTGCCCCGCGTGCCTGAGCGGTGTTCTGGCCTGGCTGCTGGGAGCGCCCTGTGGCTGCGGTGTGGTGGGGCAGTTCTGCTGGTTTCCTGGCCCCCCAAGCACCACAGGAGCAGGTGAAGGTCGTACAGCGTGGTGACAGGTACAGGGCAACAGGTTTGGCGCTTCCTGGTGCGTTCCCTGGACACAGGTCTGCTAGAAGTGGCCAGAGTGGCTTGCTGTCCCCTGGTGAAACCCCATGGCTGCGGCCTGCAAACCACAGAGGGGAGAGCGAGCCAGGGCGTGAGGAATGGAGTTCTCTGTGTTTCTCAAAGTGTTTTCCTGTGGTAAAGCACTGACAAGCTGCGTCTCCTGCTGCAGGGACGATCAAGGAGATTCTTGGAACCGCCCAGTCTGTGGGCTGCAGCATCGACGGCAGGCACCCGCATGATATCATTGATGACATCAATAACGGTGCGATTGAGTGCCCAGCGGTAAGTGCCCGACTCTGACTGAAGTTGCTGTGTTTGGCCGTTTACTGAAAGACTCTGCTAATGAGCTGTAATTGCTTCTTTCAACAGAGCTAAGACTGCAGCAAAGAAGTTGCTGTGTGAAGGTTCCTTAAGTGTTCTGTAGCACCTGAAATAATAAAAGACCCGGTTGTCTGCAAACTGTGTTGCTGGCTTTAATTGTCCTTGTCCCCTGCTGCACGAAGAGTGGGTTTTGTTTCGGCTGGGACCACCTGCCCGCTGCCCCAGCTGAGGCGATGGTTCTTGCGCAGACGGCAAAGCTGGAGGGGGCTCATATCCCCTTTGCTGTCCTGAAATCCCTGGCTTGCAGCAATGCTGAGCTTGAGAAGCGGAGTTGCCTCAAGCCAGCACTCCAGTAAAGAGCAAATGTCGCTGACTTGCGGCCTGTGTAAAGCTTTCCACGAGCTCAACTCTTGCCAGCACCAATGTGTTGCCCGTCGGCAGGGCCAGGGCTGTAGGAGCAGGTCTGGCCTCCCCCCAGCTGCCGCAGTGGGACACAAACACGTGCTGAGGAGTGACGGTGACTTCGCAGGCTGCCTGCCTCCTAACCTAGGCCCTGAGGGGCCGCCTGGGCTGGCAGGAGGGGAGGGCTCTGAGTCTGGGTTTGAGGTGAAGCCCGAGGCGTGGCTGTTGGGTCCGTGCTGGCAGGTACTGCAGCAGCCGGAGGGAGCGGCCCCGTGGGCCTGGCAGTGGGGCCGTGGCCTTCTCTCTAGCTGGGGAGCCCTCTGGCCTAGGTGACATGGCAGGTTTTCTGTTGCAGAGCAGATGGGATTCTTCACTCGGCTTTCTCTCCTCCTCTGAAGTGGAGGAGATTGTGGATTTTCTTCTGGTGACAAGGACAAGCACGCACATTCCAGTTCCTGAACTGTGCTTTATTTTATCACTGAAGAGGAGCAAGTCTGACTGTGGTTGGAATCTCCTGGTCCTTGATGCTTCAGAGGGCTGAGGGGCCCAGTCTCGTGTTTCTTAGGTCTCCTGATCCCTTGAATGGTGATACTGGGGGAGCGGCATAAGCAAGCCCTGTAGGCCCTCTCTGGGTTGTAGGTTCCAGGTCCTGGTGTAGTCTCTGAAAGAGAAAGAAGCCGTTCAAGTGTTATTTCCCTTTGCGTGGGCACGCTGTAAGCCCAGGCCCACAGCTTGGCACAGACGTGTCTGAAAGCCTGGCCGCGCCGCATGGCGCGTGTTCAGCAGTGAGCGTTCTGGCTGTGGTGTCTGCATGCTGCAGGAGTGCCGGCCCAGCCTGCCGACGGAGCTGCTGGCAGGCGAAAGGCGTTTGCCCTGTGAGCAGCACCTTCCCGAGGGAACGGCGGCTCGCTGACTCGAGGCAGAAGGCCTGGCAGCAGGAGGTGTCCATGCCCGTCACCACGTGGATGGAGGTAGGGCTGTGAGCGCAGCCGTTGAACAGCACGGTGAGGGAAGGGCAAAAGGCTTGGCCTTGCTGCTTCAACAGGAGTTCTCTTGGCGAGCTCCCAGGGAGGGCCTTGCAGACACCATCCTGGGGATCTCCTCCAGCGCGGGTGTAAGGAGCCGAAGCGCGGCTGCAGCCCATTAGACCGCTGAGCCCCCGGCGAGGTTCCTGTGGTGCCTGCATGGTTGCACTTCACAGTGTGTGATGTGGATCTTGCACCTGAAGGCCCTGTCTAGCTGTTACAGGGGCTGGGGGGTGTGGGCAGCAGCAAGGTTCTCCAGAGGTTCTGGGGAAACCTCGTGCTGTTTCCAGCAAAGGCTGGGCTCTCCCTTGAGGCAGCGCAGCGTGAGGGGTGGCGTGTGGTCTGTCAGGCTCTGGAAAGCTCTGTTACATGTGAAGGGAAATCATCCCAGTAATAGGAAATATCTCTGAAAGCCCCACTAACAGCAGCGTTATGGTTGCAGTTTACTTCAGCCCTAACAGAGCGTCCTGGGGAAAAAGTCATGAATGCTGATTGAGGTTCATTTTTTGCAAAGGGAGAGAGGATCAAAGTCTTCCTGTGATGCTGAGCTGCATGAGCCTTGGTCTCAGGAAAACGTTCTGCGAGGCGTTTTCCTCCTCTGCAAAGTGGTGACAGCACTTGACCGACTTTCTCCTTGCCAATGTGTCCAGTTTGGCAAGGAACTCTCAGATGTTTTCTTGCAGGGTGTTTACAGCCTGGCTGGAGCTCCAGTGTAGCGAGCAGGACTCCGAAGCGGCGTGCACCGCAGGAATTGGGGGAGGAAGAAAATCATTCTGCAACTACTTTGTAGGGGTACATTGGAGAGAGTGCGGCACACGCGCTAGCTGAGCTGCTAAAATTCATTGCGTGAGGCCTGGGCGGTTCACCGGGATCTGCCTCCGTGGGAAGAGGCCTGTGCAGCCCGAGGGGAAGGCGGCCGTCGTG